CAGCTTGCAGGACTGGCCTAGGGTAATTTTTAGGGGGGTTTTAATTATATTTTAATTCGACAAATATTTAATATTCTTTTTAATTAATTTTAAATTTGTATTGTCTTGTATGTATTTTAAATAGATTGTCAGCCGCCCTGAGTCCTACGGGAGAAGGGCGGGATATAAATTCAAATATAAATAAATAAAATAAAATAAATATTGTGGGCTGTCGGCAGTCTTCCTGCTTTAGGCTTCGAGGTATCAGCCCGGCCTTTCGGCTAGCTGCAGTCCCTTCCACTTTGAAGTCAGTCTCCCCCCCCCCCCTGAGAATTAGGAAGCGTGCCTCCTCCATATTTAAGCTCCCACAACTGACCCAAGTCTCTCGTGGGGGGAAAAAATGAGTCATAGGGATAGAATCAAGATCACGTGAAGTGTTAATACCACTTTACAATGCCTTGGTGAGGCCACACTTGGAATACGGCATCCAGTTTTGGTCACCACAATGTAAAAAAGATGTTGAGCCTCTAGAAAGAGTGCAGAGAAGAGCAACAAAGATGATCAGGGGACTGGAGGCTAAAACATATAAGGAACGGCTGCTGGAATTGGGTATGTCTAGTTTAATGAAGAGAAGGACCAGAGGGGACATGATAACAGTGTTCCAGTATCTCAGGGGCTGCCCCAAAGAAGAGGGAGTCAAGCTATTCTCCAAGGCGCCTAAAGGCAGGACGAGAAGCAATGGATGGAAACTGACCAAGGAGAGAAGCAACCTAGAACTAAGGAGAAACTTCCTGACAGTTAGAACAATTAACCAGTGGAACAACCTACCTCCAGAAGCGGTGAATGCTCCAACACTGGAAGTTTTTTAAGAAGAGACTGGACAGCCATTTGTCCGAAATGGTGTAGGGTTACCTGCCTGAGCAGGGGATTGGACTAGATGACCTCCAAGGCCCCTTCCAACTTTATGATTATTATTAACAACCTGCCTCCAGAAGCGGTGAAGGCTCCAACACCGGAAGTTTTTAAGAAGAGACTGGACAGCCAGTTGTCTGAAAGGGTATAGGGTTTCCTGCCTGAGCAGGAGGTTGGACTAGATGACCTCCAAGGTCCCTTCCAACTTTATTATTATTGTTACTATTATTAATTTGTTCAACATCTCCCTCGGTATCCAAAGCCTGGCCCTGCAGAAGTTTGCAAAGGAGCTTATCGGTCTGTGGGTCTCGTCGGATTCGAGGCAACCGTTTCTCCCGGGCGACTCTGGGCTAAGCCCTTGGCATTTTTGAGGGCTTTTTTCTGCCTTGGCACAGGGGCGCAGCTTGGCAGCGTGCCCGTTGCCATGCCCTGGACTCTGCACCAGCTTCTTCCACGTATCTGGGGAGTGGGGGGGGGGAAATGTCCCTCCCTTCACCTTCCTAAGGGGAGTGAGGGTCTACGAAGCAACGCTTGCCTGCCTCCTCAGGGCCTCCGTTGCTGAGCAGCACGAAAAAGTGGGTCACTGAGCTGAAACACAGCTCAGCCAGCTAAACCGGAGAAAATGGAATTTAAAGGGAAGGCGGCGCGTGGAACCGAAGGTCAACGGGCCTTGGACCAGGAGCTCTCCCCAACCAGAATTTGCACCGTACTCTTGATCGACTCCTGCGAGTCCCCTGGACTGCAAGGCG